GTGTTAGCTTGGGCTGTCATACTAAAATATCACAGACCAGGTGGCTTAAACAGCACAACTTTATTTCTTACACTTCTAGAAGCTAAAAAGTCCAGGATCAAGTTGCCAGCAAATTCAGTTTCTGATGAAGATGCTCTTCTTGCCTTGTAGAAATCTGCCCTCTCATTGTGTGTTTACATGATCTCTACTTTATGAATGTTGGGGGGTAAGAGGGAGTACCGGGGAAGGGAGAGAGAACAAAAGAGTAAATTGTCCACTGTCGCTTCTTATAAGGACACTAATTTTGTTGGATCAGGGCCTCACCTTATAACCTCATTTAACCTTAATTACTTCTCTTAAATGCCCCATTTCCAAATACAGTCATGATGGTGGTTAGAGCTTTGACATATGAATTTTAGGAGGACAGAAACATTTAGTTCATAACGCCAACGCCCTCACTTTACAAAGTAAAAATAGATCCAGACAGTATGATAGAAATGCAGGATTAAAAGAGACCTAAAGATTATTGAGATTAACTATTCCTCTGATATTTTCTACTAAAATCTTTAAAATAACTTGTCAAAGTAAATTCATGGCAAAACTGGAACTCTTAGCCCTTCACTCTCAGTTGAAAGCTTTTTCTATGACATTATTTCTTCTCTCTTTGTATAGTTCTCTTAGGTCTTTCCCAGTGCTGATTTCCTTTCACTGAAGGAGAATCCACTGCCTAGGTTTTTAACTTAGGTCACGAGTAAGGCCTTGAAGAACTGTCTGAAGTTCTATAACAATTATTGCGTTGTAGTTGTTGTTGTTGTTGTTTTAGGTGTGTAGCTTTGATCAGATTCTCAAAGAAGTCTATGACAGCAAAAGGGTCCATCCACTAAGCAGTAACTTTCTGCATACCACCAGAGTGACTTAGCCTCTCCACTTGCAAGTCTCTTTTTATGTTAGATGTGGCTTATCCACTCAATCGAAAACGGGTGCAGAGTATGTTGGATGTTCCTAGCACTGAACTTCATGATAAGAGTAGAAAAATGAATACCAGAAGTCTGTCATAAAGACTTAGTGAAAGAGTGAAAGGCAAGGAGGAACTGGAGAAAAGTAAATTTATTGAGCACACACGTTTCTCTGACTCTAAAAATTATTATTCTTTTTCATTTTACCATGCTGTGATAATCCTGAAATTGACTTGCCTTGTCTCACTTAAGCTGCGAGATAGTGGGCATGAAGTATCTAACTAGTTTTTTCCTCATTCTGAGCTGACATTATGTTGCAGAGAAGTTTGGTGTTGTGCTAATTTTGCAAATGAACAAGTGGAGGCTTTAATTTTTAATTTTAATTCCAAACAGAAAATTACACACTCTTCTTTCAAATCTCTCACCAATCTGCACATAAGCTAGAGTTGATCCCCGCAGAGACACAGTCGAGAGTGTGCATACTCATAAAAAAAACTAGTTAATCAACTCTATAGCCAGAATTTGCAGAAGTTTTAAAACAGGAAAACACATGAAAAATCCAGTGAGGACTTATAGGGACTTAAAGGCTATGCTTAAAGCAGGTGCATTTTTTAGGTGAAGACCAAAAAAAAAAAAAGAAAACACCTGAAGACAAAAAAATAAATAAATAAATAAATAATAAAATGAGACCCAAGACAAGTAGTAAGGTCCTTGAAGCAAGAAGTCCACACTCTGCCAGTCTATGGGATGCTCAAAGCAAGTCCAAATTGGACCATAACATCACAGGTAGTAGGAGACTGAGCTCAAAATGCCCTATATGATTTATTGTATATAAGTATATTGAGAAATTTATACGTACTTCTCATTATAGGAGACAGGTCTGTTCACTCTCAACCTAGTCTCTCTTGTCTCCATTAACAGCTGTATTAATTTCCTCTAGCTGCTGTAACAGATGACCTCAAACTTAGCAGTTTAAAATAATACAGATTTATTTTCTTATAGTTCTGTAATTCTGAAGCTCGAAATGGATCTCATTGTGCTAAAATCAAGGTGTAGTTAAGGCGTGCAGTTCTTTCTGGAGGTTCTAGAGGATAATAAGTTTCTTTGCCTTTTCTAGCTCCTAGATACTCCTGTATTTCTAGGTCCCTGGCCCCTTTCCATTTTCAGAGCCAGCAATGGCTGGTCAGTCTTTCTCACATTGCATCACTCTGACACTGACTTTTCTGCTTCCCCCTTCCACATTTAAGGACTCTTATGATTACATTGGGCCCACCCAGATAATCCAATATAATCTCTTCATTTATTTATTTTTGCACTGCCTTTAACGGGGATCCGAACCTGTGACCTTGGTGTTAACAAGGTTGTGCTCTAACCAGCTGAGCTAACTGGCCAGCCCTCTTCATTTTAAGGAGTTCAGATGATTAATTCCATCTGCAGGCTTTATTCCCCCTTGCTATGTAACATAGGACAGATTCCAGGAATTAGGAGGAGGACGACTTTGCGAAGATAAGAGGGTGTTATTCAAGAGGGTGTTGTACCTCAACCACCAACTTAAGAACTCTAGGTAATGTTTCCTGTGCTCATATGATGGGGTAGACCTTTCCTGAGCTGTAATGCCTCTTGTCCTTTGTCTTTTATACCCATTAAATCGACTAAGAAACAAAGAACAATAGTACATTACCACGGGAATTGCAGATATTATGTTAATTTAGGAGTCAGATATAAGGAGAAGAATTATATAGCTTTCTCTAAAACTTCTTATAGTACAACCAAAGAAAATGAAACCCAGAGAGATTCCTAGTTCTTGATGTCTCAGAAAGCCACCATTAGAGCATCAAATTACTTCCACTTTCTCTGATTTAGTTTCTCAATACAATGCTATTATCTATGTATTATATGATTAGAGAAATTAAAGAAAAGACGTTTGCCTTAAGTTATAGTTTGAAATAGAAAAAATAAAAATAGCAACCCAAAATTGTATGGCAATCCTGAGCTAGGAATACAGGAGGTATTGCTGTCCCATTTTACATTTTAACAGTGAGGAATAGGGCTCTTATTAACCATACTGCTAGAAAGTGGCAGAGTCAGGGCTAAAAATCCAGATTTGCCCAAGTTTAAAGCCCATGCTCCTGCTGTAAGCATCCAGCCATCCCACTGCCATATTACTATCATCAGGAATGTGAAAGAGCATGTTCTTGAGTTTTAAGATCTGAATTAGCCCCAAAATCCACAACTGTTTTCTAATTCCTAAGGCTGTCTCTGGCTATTTCAAGCAATGCTGTAAATTTCTAAAATAAAATAGAAGTCCTGCTGTAAATTAACTTATTTATATAAATCCAATTTATTAAGAATATTAATTATATAGATCATCTTTTAAATGAATAAAGAGAATTAACATAAGAAAAAGAAAAGCCCTATCGATTTATTTGGTGTTACATTCCCCAAAACTGGAACTTTAACTCGATTATACTGGTTTAACATTCAAAGTTTCTCTCTCCTCGAAGCAGGTTTCTTCCAACTTAAAGGGCATTTCAGATAACCCAATATTTAGAACATTACGTAACAGTTATATCACTTCTAAGTAAAATTACATTACGTAAATAATATTACAAAAAATTTACGTTCTAAAGGGTAGGTTTCAGGGTGTGGGTGAAAGGAACATTCTTGTCCTTTGCATCATGTCTAACTCTTTTCTGCTTAAGGAGTAAGACAGTTTATTCATTGGCCCTTTCCTTGCTTCTTTTCAGAGTACCATGAAGTACTCTTAAGTAAGTGGAGTCAGTAGAAGACACTCCTCAAAGGCATGCAAAATATACCCCACCCTGTGTTTTGTGAATGCTGTCATCATGAACAGATGTTGGGTAATAACCAGGGAAAAGTTACGCTATGATGCTTCCACATCACCTACCAAGAACAACCAGGAACATGAAAGGCCAAGAGAATGTCATCCAGACAAAGTCCACATGCACGAAGGGGCACAGGTGAGAGAAGCTGCAGAGGCGGGAGAAGCTGCAGAGGCGGGAGAAGCTGAAACACAAGTGGCTGCGGCACCTGATCAGCCCACACCTCACTTCTTCATTTGGTTTCTGTGAAGAATAATCTAGGAAAGAAATTGGCCTGTAAACTGAAGATAACTACTCCTGTGTCCTTAATTTTATCGAATAATAATCTGTCTTCCGAAGTTCTTTCCATGGGTTCAGTTTACAGGCAATTTGGCCATTTTTCTGAGCAAATTTACGTGAAATGCTGAAATAAATTCTACTTAAGTTATTAACAATAATAGTGAAAAAAATCTGATCACTTTTGAATGTTTTGTGTTTAATGAGGGTTCTCCAAATTCATGCTTTTGTCTGGATTAACAAATACAAGTGATTGACCAAACTGTTTACTGTTTACCTCAAACTACTTCCTTTTTTTTTATTGTGACTAAGTTGGGGATGAGGTTGAGGGACAATTGTGATTTTATGTATATCTATAAACCAGGGTAGCAGGCTAGAAACTCTGGTAGGATTTCTATGTTGCAGTCTTAAGGAGAATTCTTTCTCCTTTGGAGAATCTTAGTCTTTGCTCTTAAGGCCTTCATCTGATCCGATGAGGCTCACTATATTAGGCAGAGGAATATGCTTTACTCAAAGTAAAAATTTACAAAATTCACAAAAATAAACTTCAAATGGATCATAGAACTAAATGTAAAACGCAATACTGTGAAACAACCGGAAGATAACAGGAGAAAACCTAGCTGGCCTTGGGTATGGTACTGAGTTTTTAGATACAACACCAAAGGAATAATCCAAGAAGGACTTCAGTGGAATTAAAATCTGTTCTGCAAAAGTCAATGTCATGAAAACGAGAAGACAAGCCCCGGGTTGTGAGAAAATATTCACAAAAGACCTATCAGATAGATTTCTGTTATTGAAAATATGCAAAGAACTCTTAAAACTCAACAATAAGAAACAATCAACCCAATTAGCAAAATGGGCTTCGGGCAGCAGGGGCGGGGCCCTGGCTGCCCTCCTCTGAGCTGTGCTGGGGTTTCGGGGCCAGCTGTGTGGGGCAGGCCTCTGCATGGGTTGTGGGGCTGCAGCGGGCAGGAGCATCCAAGAGACGGGTGGGGAGCAGGTCTCCCACCAGGCACAGAGACTGAAAAATCCCAAATGGTCTACTGTTCTTGATGGCATCAGAGCCTGTGGGTATATGTCTCTGCTGAAGGTGGCACAAACTACCCTGACAGTGGTGGCCCTGCCACTGGGCTTCTCCTGGCACTCCCAGGGTCTCATGACTCAACTCCTTGTGCCTTGTGAGTGGGATAGCTGGCTTTGCTCTGGCCTTGCTCTGGCCTTGCTGTGCTGGATGAGCTATTTCTTCTGGAGTCTGGTGGGCACCCTCTATATGAATGAGTCTGGCACCATGCTGCAGGTGGCTCACCTGACCTCCAGCGACTGGCGGCAGAAAACATACTGTCCCGTGGTTGATGTGATGCCCCTGATGGAAATCAAGGACTGGCCCCAGCAGCTCTTTATGCGTATCCAGCAGTGTGGTGGGAAGCAGACCTTTTTCCTACCCAGTGCTGTGGACACATCCTGGACAGAGAGGGTTTCACATAGGTGTTTCGGGTGCTGAACAAGCTCAAGTGACCAACTGGTAGCCGGGCCTCTGGGTGGCCCCGGGCTGCCTAGATCTCTGACAGGAAGGCTGACAATGTGGGCAAAGCTGAAGAAGGGGACTGGGCACCTGGAGACTTTGCCAGGGCCACTGGGAACTTGTCTTTTGGGATGAAGAAATTCGTGAGGCAGAAGCTAGTAACCAGGTTTAGGAAAAAGGCCCTTGGTGCAAATTCTTATAGCACATGTGTATGACATTTAGTTATATAATGGCCAGATGTTTCTTTTAAGAGCCAATTCTTAGAGGAAGCTATGCCAGTTTCAGCCAGATAGTCTGCTTCTGTGAAAAGGGAAGCTGGGGAGGTGTGGCAGGGGAAGCACAGGCTTTGGGGTCAGATGACTTGGGTTCTGTCAGTTTTCAGCTCTCACTCCTGGACCTTGGTTTCAACATCTGTAAAACAGAAAGTTCTGCCTGTCTTATAGGATGAGTGTTTGAATAAACAGTAAATATCAAGTGCTTTGCAAACTCAACAGCCCAGAGCAAATATTAAGCATTTGGGCAGAGGTTATGGCTTGGTGAAAGGCTTCCAGGCAGCCAATAGGCATTTCCAGAGCCCTGTGCTGTGGCTCCTCATTTACCCAGCAGCAGAGGGGACTGGAATAAATCCTAGAGTGAGGTCATTTCATCCTCCCACAATGGTAACTGCACACTGACTGGAGCAAGAATGTCATCCAAGTGAGCACAACACCGAAGTCGAGATTTTGTTCACCACCCAGAGGTCTAGGGGCTCTCACACTGGAAGACTTTGCAGTGTGATAAAGCCAGATGGACTGAATGCTGGTGCAGTACTTTATAAGTTAAAGCCAGTTATATGTATTGTTTCCCATAGTCAATAATATTACATAATTTGTTACAGAGTAAAGAGGAAGGAAGGCATTATCTTTAGAATTTTGCCACTCAAAAGTCACTGACTAAATGTTTTGTTGTGTAGCCTTCCAGTGTTTGTTTTATTGAAGTAAAATATACAGAAGACAATTTATCCTTTTAACCAATTTTTAAGCCTACAATTTGGAGACATTAAGTATATTTACAATGTTGTACAATGATCACCACTAGTCATTTCCAGAACATTCTCATCAACCCAAGCAGAATCCATGCTCATTAAACAATAACCCCAGTCCACCCACCCCACCCACCCTACCCACCCCACCCCAGCCCTTTGCAATCACTAATCTGCTTTCTGACTCTCTGGATTTGCCTGTTCTGGATATTTCATATAAATGGAATCACACAATATGTGCCCTTTTGTGTCTGGCCTCTTTTACTTGGCATTATATTTCAAAGTGCATCTACACTGTGGCATGTGTCAGAACTTAATTCCTTTTTCATGGCTGAATAATATGTATGGGTGTACCACATTTTACTTATCCATTCATCAGTTGATGGACATTTGGGTTGTTTCCCCCTTTTGGCTGTTGTGAATAATGCTGCTATGAATATTGGTGTAAAAAAAAAAAACCCAAAACAAAAAAACAAATGGGCCAAAAGCCTGAACAGACACTAGAGAAGATACATAGATGTCAAATAAGCATATGACAAGATGTTGAACATCATATGACATCAGGAAATGCAAATTAAACCAACAGTGAGATATCACTACACACCTTTTAAGATGGTCAAAATCCAGCACTCTGACACCACTAAATCCTGACAAGGACATAGAGCAACAGGAACTCTCATTCATTGTTGATGGGATTGCAAAATGGTACACCCAATTTGAATGATAGTTTAGCAGTTTCTTACAAAACTGAACATACACTTAGCAAACAATCCAACAGTTGTGTGCCTTGGTATTTATCCAAAGGAGTTGAAAAGTTATGTCTACACAAAACTCTGCACATGGATATTTATAACAGATTTATTCACAATTGCCAAAACTTGGAGACAACCAAGATATCTTTCAGTAGGGGAATGGATAATAAATTATGACATATGCAGGCAATAAAATAGTATTCAGCACTAAAAGAAATAAGCTATCAAGCCACTGAAAGACGTGGAGGAATCTTAAATGCATATTACTAAGTGAAAGAAGCCAGTCTGAAAAGGCTATATACTGTAGAATTCCAACCATATAACATCTGGAAAAGGCAAAACTGTGGAGAGAGTAAAAAGATCAGTGATTGCCAGGGGCTGGTGTTGGCGTGGAGGGCGAGGGGCCACCCAGAGGATTTTTAGGGCAGTGAAAATACTCTGTATGATATTATAATGACATATACACGTCATTGTACGTTTGTCCAAACCCATAGAATGTGCAGCACGAAGAGTAAACCCTAATGTAAGCTATGGCCTTTGGGTGATTATGATGTGCCAGTGTAGGTTTATCAATGGCAACAAATGCATCACTCTTTGTTCAGTAGTTTGGTAGTGGGGGAGGTTATGACTTTATGCTGGCGGTGGATATGTGAGAAATCTTTTTAACTTCCTCTTTATTTTGCTGTGAACCTAAAACTGCTCTCTCTCTCTACATATAGTTATTTTATATATACGGAAGTGCCATGCGAACTTCACAACACCTCCCCCAAAGTTGACATCTTGCATAATTACAGTACAATGTTGCATATCAAAACCAGGAAACTGACCTTGGTACAATCTACAGAACTCATTCAGATTTCACCATTTATATATGTGCGTGTGTATGTATAGTTCTATGTAATTATGTGATATATGTAGCTTTCTGTAACTACCACCTCAATTAAGATACAGAACTGTTCAATCAGTGTGTCTCCCTCACATTGTCCCTGTATAACTCCTAATCCTAATAGCTGCTAATTCCCCCTCCCCAGTCCCTAATGTTAGTACAGTTTCTTCATCCCTACAGGTTTGTTGTTACAAGAACTATATAAATGGAATCATGCAGTATGTAACCTTGTAAGAGTGACTTTTTTTACTCAGCATAATTAACATAATTTCCTTGAGTTTCATCCAAGTTGTTGTATGTATCAATTTTTTTTTTTTTGCTGTCAGAATGTCCCATGGTACAGATAAACCACAGTTTGCCACAGTTTGTTTAACTATTCACCTTTTGAAGGACATTTGGATTGTTTCCAGTTTTTGGCTATCTTGAATAAAGCTGCTGTGAACATTCATGTGCAGGTTTTTGCATTAATATAGGTTTTTATTTTTCTGGGATAAGTGCCCAAGAGTGCAGTTCTGTGATAATTGAACAAGAGTGCACATACAATTGGGTTGTATAGTGTAGTGAGCAAAATAATGCCCCTCTCCCCACAAAGATGTTTATGCTTTAATGTCTAGAACCTGTGATTATATTACCTTACATGGCAAAAGAGATTTTGTAAATGTGAAGAAATTAAGAATCTTGAGAAGGGAGATTTTCTCGGATTATCTGTGTGGGTGCCGGGTAATCAGCAACATTCTTATGAGAGGGAGGAAAGAGGGTCAGAGTCAGAGACATTGGAAAATGCTACCCTGTTGTCTTTGAAGGTGGAGAAAGGAACAACAAGCCAAATAACTAAGGTAGCCTCTAGAAGCTGGAAAAGGCAAGGAATAGATTCCCCCGAGCTTTCAGAAGAAACACAACTCTGCTGACACCTTGATTTTTAGCTCGTTAAGACCCATTTCTTACTTCTGACCTCCAGATCATCAAATAAAAAAAGTGTGTTGTTTTAGCCAGCAAATTTGTAGTATTTTGTTAATAGCTTCAGTAGAAAAGTAATACATACAGTGAATAACTTTTTAGTTGTAAAAGAAACTGCCAAACTTTCCCAAAGTGGATATCTCTGTTTTCTAAGATATTACTCTGTATTCAACAATCACTATGTATTCTACTTCTTTCATGAAGCCTATTCTTATTCATTAATAATATGTTTTTGAATGCCTTCTAAATGTCAGGCACTGTTCTGGGAGCAATGAACAGTACAGGCAAGGTCCTTGCTTTCATAGGCATAAAATTCCAGGGGGGGGGGGAACACATAAAATAAACAGATAAACACACAATACAAAATAATATCAGGTAGAAATAAATGGTATAAGGAAAACGAAACAGCCTTAGTAGTTGTCTTAGTTTGGGTAGTTGGAGAAAGCCTTTCTGAAAAGGAGAAGTTTAAGCTGGGATTTAAATGTCAAGAAGGAGGCTTGAGAATCACTGTTAGTGATCAAATCACAAGAAAGCCAATGTGGGTGGAGCGTAATGAACAATGGTGGGGAACTGTAGTAGATGAGATCGGATAGATAAACAGGGATAGATCCTTGAGATTCTCAAAAGATAGAATAGATAGTTTATATTTATCCATTGTATCAGAGGAAGCCAATGAAAGATTTCAAACAGGAGAAAAGTGTGATCTGATTTATGTTTAAAAAATGATTAGTCTCACTGCTATAGGGAGGTTGTCTCAGACTGAGGAAAGAATAGAACGGGGAAAACCATTTAAGGAATTATTACATCGACTAAGTTGGTAGTGGTAGGGTTGTAGAAGAGGTGACAGATTTAGGATTTGTTTGTGCAACGTGTTCTACAGGATTGCTGCTGGATTGGCAATGGGAGTAAAGGAAAGAGTTTTTTTTTTTTTTGTCTTTTGTCTTTTTCCGTGTCCGGCAACGGATCACAACCCTCAGTGTTGCCCCTGTAATGGACCGGGGACCGGCAACGGGATCGCAACCCTCGGCGCTGCTCCCGTGCCTTGCTCAGCCAGTGAGCGGGAACCGGTCTGTATGTGGGATCCGAACACTCGGGCGGGAGCGCCGCCGTGCTTCCCAAGCGGTGCACTATCCAGTGCGCCACCGGGCCGGCCCTAAAGGAAAGAGTTTTTTGCTTGAGAACTAAAGAATGCTGGTGTCTTTAACTTTAGATAGTTACTATTTGGAGTTATGGTGCTGGGAATGTAAAATAAGAAATTAAATTTGAGAATCTGAGTGGAGAGATTGTCAACTGACAATTAGAGGTTGGTCCTGGAGACACAAATTTGGGAATGATTATTGTTTCAAATCATGAGCTTGGATGTGATTAACCTGGAAGAGTGCAGACAGAGAAGAAAGGGATCAAGACACTTCAACTCATAGATACAGTAGAGGAGAAAAGCTTTTTTTATTTTTTAAAAGAAAAAGAAAAAAGAAAAGACTTAGAAGTAGCATTCTGTGAAGTTAGAGAAAGACCAGAAGCATATCAACCCATGAAGCCGAGAAAAAAAGAAACCTTTCAATAAAGAGGCTATAAACATTTGTGTTGAATGCTACCAAGAAGTAGAATAAGAAACAGATTAAGAGAACGGCTAAAATTAAGTACAATAGAGGGAGTGATTATAGTGATGAGTAATGGAATCTGAGCTAGATGCAAAAGGAAGGAAATGAAGAGATACAAGGGTGATAAATAGTGAATTGATGATGTTGATGGATCATTAGGCTCAGTGAAACTGGAGAGTTATATGTACTTTTTTTGTTTTATTTTTTGTGGCTTGCCCATAAGGGGATCCAAACCCTTGACCTTGGTTTTATAGCACTTTGCTCTAACCTGCAGAGTCAGCTGTTGGAGTGTGAGTGCTAAAACAGGTCAGCTAGAAGTGTTTGTAGCAAAGGAAATCTTGAAATCCAGATTTTGGAGGCAGTGCAGGAATTGAAGATGAGATCAAGGTATGTATGATTATGGAAATATGGTGGAAGAAGTCATCACTGGAACGGAGAAGGCCAAGAAAGAGAGAGGACAGGCAAGATGTTAAATATATGGCCCTGCAGATATTGAAATTACCAAGAACATGTCAAGAGGGTACAAGCCGGGTATCCATGCTTTGCCCAACTGAGTACAATCTCTTTCTCTTTGAACTTCCTTTTTTATTTTGTATCTCCTTAGCAACACTTGTCTTATTCTTTGCCTTTCATGTATTATTTTTTCTTCTTTCGGACTAGGCAATGAAAACAAGACCGTTGCTATCTTCTTTAGAACAAACCGCACCTTTTCCAACACAGTGTTGCAATGAATAAAATATTAGAAATAGTGACTCTAGGAAGCTTCTGTATGACTGAGGGCAGAACCTTTTCATTAAGGACCAGCCTAGTTTTGAATACAGAGGAAAACACAAGATAATGGTTTACCTTAAGGATAATGCTTCAGAGAAATCACATGTCATAAGACACAGACATAGAAACAGTCAAAATTTATTTTCAGAAAAGATTTTTCAATTCTTCAATAGTATAAAAATAAACAGAAATTTGTTTCAAGACTTACATTTTACATAAGTTAATTTAAATATACATTTGTGTGAGGCACTGAAACATTCACATACACAACCCAAACTCCCAGGTTCAGTCAGCAGGTTGATGTTCATAAGAAATCAAGTCTTGTTTTGTTTTTTCAAAAGAAAACATCGGTGAACAATAGTTTTTACACAAGTTCTTCTAATATTGGCTATTTCCTTCTCAGCCTTAAACATTTTAATTATAAAATCTTAAAGAAAAATTATCCTGAGTTATTTCTCTTTAATTTATTTCATTTTCTCCCTCTTCCTAAAAGGCACAGTTTTTATTTTTTATTGTTTTATTTAAACAAATACTGATGTTATGTGCAATCAGTGCTTGGTTTAAAAATATTAAAACCTACAGTGCTTTGTCTATTTTCTCAATAAACTATATAATTGAATGAATTAATGAAGTATCCACAGGTCCTTCAAAAATGTATAAAAGGTCATTTCTTAAGGCATGTGCAGGTTAACGAGACAATGTTCTCTGTGGGCTGGTAAATCCTACAGAAATAAATTATGACCATAAATATCTCAGTATACCAGAGTTGGGATCCTGAAAATTTATTCAGAAATCTTAATTCAATTATTTCTTTTGATTGCTTACATAATAATTCAGAGAGGTAATCCCAAAGAAGATATATTAATTTTGACATAATAAAAAAAAATCAGTGGTTACAGGCTTAAACACAGTTTATAACAACAACATCCTAATAAAACATAAATAATCATCCTCAATAAATTAAATTAAGTAATATACAGTACCATAAAATGTCAGCTGACAATGAGATGTGGGAAAGAAGTGTTATTATTAACACTGGAAACTTCTCAAGAATTGTTTCATTTTGTTTTTAAACAAGAAAGGCATTAATTTGAATAAGAATATGACTTTCTTCCTGTCAAGAACCCCCTGTAATTTTTTCTAAGGTACTAGCCGTTTCGTAGGCTTCTTGGTTACAGATTGCTAAAATTAACTATAAATAAAATTCTAAACCTTTTACTTAAAATAAGGACCTTCTTCCCCCTTTTATTACTCTTAAGAGGAGGAGCTCAATAATAGTCCTGAGCTGAGGTTTTCCTGAAAACTTGCAAAAGTTGAGGTAAGAAAATATAGAGACCAAAGAAGGATGAGCCTTGACCTTAAAACCAGGAAAACGAAATAGAAGAAAGAAACAGATCAGAAGTGAGGTTTTCTTAGCAAATGGCTAAAAGAAGAAAATAAAAGGAGCAGCATGCAGGTAGCCAGGTTTGATTCAAATGTACATGCTGAATTGGCTTATCAAGATTCAGATAAATTAACATGTGAAACGAATTTAAGCAGTTTGAAGTGTCATTTTATGAGGCCATTGCTACTTTTTGCACTGTGATATGGACTTCTCAACACTGTGCAACAGAAAATCTAAGAAACAGATGGTTATCCAAGTCCAGCTCAGCAATTCATTAACCTTGCAGCAAAGTTTGTTGAATACCAGGCCTGCAGCACCCAAAGATAAAATAAATTCTCTTTCAAGAGTTTAATCCCAAATTTGAACTATAATTTGGGTTTCTTCTTTGTTATTGCTTTTTTTAAATGTAGTATCTTTTGATGCTAGAGATTTTGCTTGTTACTTAGCCATATAAACAAATTCTAAAATCTCTCTATATAGAAAATTTTTATTTTAAGATAGGACTTCAGTGGCTCTGCCACCTTAATACATTTGGCATTTTGATTCAAAAGGAAGTTGTAACAGTCACATTAAATAGATTTTCACTCATAGTGGTTTTATGCAATATTTTAACCAGCAATTGTACTATACAATTTTTACTGATTGAAGAGATTTAAGTCTATGATAGCTTCCTTTATTGGTGTAGATACAAACTTAATAACTTTAGTATAGGAAATTAAGTAAGATTTTAAAAGTGATTCTACGCTATGAATTTAGAAATTTCAAATTGTTTCCATGTCGCTTTCAAAAACAGACATAAAATTATTGGTTATGTCTGATTTCAGCATTCACTTAAAAATGCACTTGAGCCTTTTTTTGTTTTTTGATGACAAATAAATGTCCAAAAGTACTTTAAAATGTTAATTGTTTCTAATGCAACATGTAAAATACACTGGAAATAAAGACAGTGTCTAGAAACTTGTAGCATTTTGCTATCTTGTAACAGCATTTAAGTGTTCAAACATCTTTGCTTTGGTTCTAATTATAACACAGTATAAATTGAAATTCAAGTAAAAAGATGTCAAAAATCATTTCCCACTGGTTTACTAAAAGAATAAAAAGCATTTTCCCCTTTAACTTGAAGAAAATACATCTTTAAATTACAGTAGTGTCACAAAATTCTTCACAAGTACGACCGTTTTCTCTGCAACATGAGTACTGCCTTCTGTTACAGAAGATCTTAAGTAACATAAGGAGTTTAATATAAATATTATTAAATAATTAAGTTAAAAGAAATGGTTCATATAAATAAATAAATATGATCAATAGACTTCTACAGTTCAGTTGAACGTTCTTTGAGTAGTACTGTGGGATTGATATCATCTAGTCCAGAGTGGGAAGAGCTTGCATTAATGGTGACTGTTTTGGCGAGCTGTGGATCTTGAACACTGAATGAAGTAAAGGGACAGTCCTTTACATTATTGCAGATGAGAGACTGAATGGAGGCTGTGTTGATGATCTTAAAACCTACTTCTCCACCAAAGGTGCTCGGCTTCCAGTAGTCAGGAGAACATATAGGATTTCCCATAAGTCCTTTCAAGGAGAATGGTGCTCCAAGTTCTACCATGGTCTCACCAAAGATGGCATCTGGGCGAGGCTTCTCTACCAGCAGGGCAGGGTACAGCTCCATAGCATCGATGTCACCATAGACTGCTTCCAACTCTGCAGCCATTTCCTTCTCTCCTGTGAAGGTGATGAAGACAGAGATACAACCAATATAAAACTTGCGAAGATAAAAAATAGTTTTACCCCTTTTCCCAGTTTGCTTTTAATTCTTTGTAGTTTCCATTTGCCCCTTGATTCTTTTTAGAAACTTAGAAACTGTTTCTCACCTGTAAGTTCTTCAAATGATTTATAGGGCTTCAGCAAAAAGCGTTTGCGGTACTCATTGAGAGACTGGTATTTCATCTGTCTGCTCTGGTCAATGGAAGCCTTTGCTACTTTTTGTATTGCAGGTGAGACATTCCTGCCACCAGCAACCTGTGGAAAATAAATTAAATTGTAAAACAAAATTTTTAGGCATATGTATTATTTCTATTTTAAAGGTGGTTTCTTAGGTACAAAGCGGGTAAGATTGATGAGACAGCTGAGGCCTAAACTATTTTTATTTCCTGAAAAGACACTTACATACATTGCAGTTATTTCTATTTTAAAGGTGGTTTCTTAGGTACAAAGCGGGTAAGACTGATGAGACAGCTGAGGCCTAAACTATTTTTATTTCCTGAAAAGACACTTACATACATTGCAACAGGAGCTGGGCTTAAAATTCAATGGGACCCTCGCCTAGAACTTATTTGCCTTTCAAAATTATAAAGATTAAACTGGCATTTCAGTTTGCAATATTTATTTCTATAATTTATAAGATTATAGGAAGTTTTGTAAATATTTATCTTTAAGATTTGGATACAATTTGCTATTTGTTTGACAACTATAGACTTAAAGCTCAACTTTTCCAAAAAAATCAGGTTTTCTATTTCAAAAAAAGAATTTTACGACCAAAAAAAGAATTTTATGAGGATTTTACTAGTAAAAAGAATTTTTCTCGCAAAATTTTACCAGCAAAAAATTATTTAAGAGGAATAATTTCTGCATCAGATATTCTAAAGTTACTGACTAGTCTTTTGTTTTTTGTGTTTTTCAATAATAATGCTTACCCTGCCAGCAATTTGCCTGGTGAATGATTCAACAAACTGAGTAATTCCATGTTCCAGTAATATTGAGTTGTTGTAGAGAAACTGCTGGTAGCTGTACTCTCGGTCATCAATTTGAAAGGTGTCGGGCAGAAGGGGATGCCAGTGATA